CTAAATTTGTTTTCCACCAAATTGACAACCCGTTTTCACAAGTACATTTTGTTAAATAGTGAACCCTTTCCTCAGTTTTTATTTTCTTTATGTTTATAAAACACTAGGCTTCAATATATACCAATTTAGCATATAGAATAAGATTTCCTAGACACACCCTATTGCTTTCCTGACTCCATATCTTTGCTAATACTGTGCCTGCTGCCTGGAATACCATCCCTGACTCTTCCATCTATGCCTAGCAACACTCACCTTGTGGGACAGCTAGGTGGTGCAGTGGATAGAGCACTGGGCCTGGAGTCAAAGGACCTGAGTTCAAGTCTGGCCTCAGACACTTGATACTGGCTGTGTGACCCTGGGCAAGTCCCTTAACCCCACTGCCTAGCCAAAAAAACAAAAGCCAAACCTCACCTTTCACAGACTTATTTCTAAAAAATATATTTAATAAATAAAATATTTAAAAAATAAAAACTTTTTTTAAAAAAAAATCATCCTTCAAGCTACATCTTAAACGTCTCCTCCATGGGGCCTTCGTTAATTTCTCCCTACCTCCAACCAGATATGATCTCTCCTTCCTCTGAACCCCCATATCCTTTTGTATTTTTCTCTCATTTCACTGCTTATATATTTTTATCTCAATGGATGGAATAGAAAAGTTTTTAAGTTCTTATTATGTGAAAAGCATTGGAATCACAAATAGAAAATCAAGACAGTCCTTGTTTGTCAAGGAGCTCACATTCTAATTAGGGAAGGCAACACATAAAGGGGGGATTCAGCCTCATGGCAGATGGAAAGGCCAGGTGGTACTGAGTATCTGGTAGGAAATAGAAACTTCATTTTCAATGGCAGCTACATCACAGAAGACGCACTACCATATGCTTTGCTTCTGTACCCTGAGCACCATGGATCTGACACGCAGATAAAACCTCCTGTGTGTGTCGTCTCTCTGGCTTAGAAAGTGAGCTCAATGGAGAACAGGGACTGTATTGATTTTCTATTTGTAAGCCCAGCATGGCTTACATGGTATATAACATGTTACGGCACTATGTCAATGCTAGTTGTTATCGGTGGTAGTAGAGTGCTTAATAAATACTTCTGCATGCATTGCATGCCCGTAGGCAAAGCTGCAGGGCAGATGGTAAGGCCCAGTGAATTTTTGGGAGCCATAGCAGAGCAGATGGCCCCTGACTAATGACTTTTGGGAAGGGAGTAGCAGGCCCAAGATCAGTGAGTGGGGTAATGGGGTGTCTCAGACAAAAGTGGGAATGAGGGAGTTGGGGTGGGGTTCTAGCATCCAGCCAAAACTCAAGATCCAACAAGATGCAGTCATACATTTTTGGACATGGCCACCAGGTAGATTCATTTTGCTTAACTATGCTTAATTGGCTAAAAGGGGTTTCCCTCCCTTTCTGTTTTCGGTAAGGATGAGGAGGACCATTGGGAATATATATATATATATATATATATATATATATATATATATATATATATATATATATATATTTTTAAACAATGCACAGAAGAGTTCATAAGAAAGCACAGATAAGCAGGACAGTTCTGAAGATATTGTGTAGAATCTGCTATATACTTTTATTTTTTAAAAGCAAGCAATATGAAGAAGAGATTCAGTTTCAGAATCTTTTTGTGGTCTATGTGGAAAAATTTGTTTAAATTCAAAATTAAAAAATTTTAAAAAAATGTTAACTGCCTAGTGGGAACCGCACAATGGAATTGGGAACGGGTTCCCTAAGGCCTGCTCCTGTTGGCTCACTGGGCCTCCAGTTGGAGGGCTGGGGCAGGGAAGGGAAGGTCTCCAATTTAGCAGGTATATAAGATAGAAACAGAGATAACGACAACATCTTTAACTACATTACAAACATGGCAGTGTGGTACAGTGGATAGAAGCTAGACTTGGAGTCCCAGGTTCAAATCCTAAGTCAGCTATTTACTGTGTAACCCTAGGCAAGTCACTTAAGCTCTTATAAAACCATACATGTAAATGTGGAAGGGATCTCAAAGGTTGTCTAGTCCATCATTTTAGAGATGAGGAAACTGAGGCCCAGGGAAGGGGCAGTGACCTACCCCAAGTCACACAGGCAGTATTCAAGCATCAGATATGGGATCTGAACCCTAACCTTGACACCAGTTTCCCCATCTGTGAAACAAGGGGCTGGATTCAATGCCCTCTAGTCACTTCCTAAATCTACGATTCATGACCTCACAATCCTAAAACAAAGGGCTAAGGCCCACAGAGGAAGATCATTACTGACCAAGGAATATTTCACTGAGGAGGTGGTGTTTGATTTTGAATTTAACTGGACGAAGATGGGGACATTTTGAGCCACAGGAGCATGGAGCATTTTGGTGGACCCAGCAGACCAATTTAATTGGAGCATAACATGCGGAGAATGATTAAGATCAGAAAAGTAACAATATTAACAATCTGAGGCCAGATTGGATGTCTGGCTAAAGAACTTGAACTTGATTCTGGAGGCAATAGGGAGCCAATGAAGATTGCTGGGCCAAGGAACGACCTACATTTAGATTATTCTGGCAGCAATATGGACAACTTGGACGAGGAACACAGAGGTGGAAATATCTGTTAAGATACTGCAATCGCCTAGGTGGGGGGTAATGAGTCAGAAAAGGAAAAAAATGTAAATATGAGCAGAGTAGAAGCAACCAAATCTGGTAACTGAATGGATACAAGGAGCGAGGGAAGCAGCAGCCCCAAGGCTACAAATACGAGCAACCGGGCAAAGTATGATACCCTAGACAGCAACAGTAAAATGAAAAGCCATTTGGAGGCAAAAGATAAGCTGTTTCACCCATGTTGGGTTTGCTGTATTGTAGGTAGAGAAAAAGGTTGGAGCAGCTAGGTGGCACTGCAGTGGACAGAGCACTGGGCCTAGAGTCAGGAGGACTCTTAGTGAGTTCAAATCCTGTCTCACTTACTAACTGGGTGACCCTGGGCAAGTCACTTCACCCTCTTTGCCTCAGTTTCCTCATCTGTCAAATGAGCTGGAGAAGGAAATGGCAAACCACTCCAGTATCTTTGCCAAGAAAACCCCAAACGGGGTCATGGGGGGGAGGAGGCATCAGACAGTCTGAGCTCAGAAGAGAGAAAAAAAAAACTGGGGATCACCTACAGGGGCAGTAGTTGAATCTGTGGGAGCGAAATTGCAGGAATTGCAGAGGGGGAAGGGGCAGTGGAAGGAACCTTAGATTTGGAAACAGAACCCAGGTTCAAATCCCAGCTTGACCACTTATCTATGTGACACTGGGCAAGTTACAACCTCCAAGTTCCTTTCCTCATCTGAAAAATGAAGAGACTGGATTAGATTAGAGGTGTCAAACACCAGGACTCACGAGCCCACAACAATTGCAAGGGCAGCCCAAAATAGACTAAAATATCATTGGGAAATACTTAACAAAGCAAATAAAAATGCAATAGAACATAGCTAATATTAATATGTGGTTTTCTTTTTTTTTTTTTTTGCTTTTAGGCAATTGGGGTTAAGTAACTTGCCCAGGGTCAGACAGCTAGTAAGTGTCAAGTGTTTGGTCTGAGGCTGGATTTGAACTCAGGTCCTCCTGACTTCAGGGCCGGTGCTCTATCCACTGCACCACCTAGCTGTCCCAATATGTGGTTTTCTAAGTCAACATGCAGTCTATTTATAGTTTAGCAGCCCAGTTTGCTTCTATTTCTAGTTCGACACCAATGGACTAGATTTCCCAGACCCCTTCTAGCTCCCAATCTGTAATCCTGTGACTGACCTTAGCTCTCCCTGGGCTCGTTTCTTCCTGTATAAAACGAGAGGACTAGCAGGTCTCTAAAGACTCCTTCCAGCTCAACCTCTAAGGGCCTATGGAAAGGACTCAGAGCTGGATGAAACCTTCGAAATCATAATTTGATAGAGCAGGAAACTAAGGCCCAGGGTAAAATGACTCACCCAGGGCTAAGTAGCAAGAACAAGTATCCAATTCCAAATTGCCCAACTCCCAATCTAGTGCTCTTTGCAGTACACCCCATTAGCTGGCATTAAATTAAGCTGAAATTGATTGTCCCATACCGGCTACTGACATTTTGGAATACTCTGAATAATCAGAATTTTTTTCCCAGAGTGATTTTTTAAAAGTTTTTATTGATTTTTTTTACATCACTTTCATTTCCCAATATGACCCACCCCGACCCCACCCAGAGAGCCACCCCTTATAACAAAAAATATGTGTTAAAGAAAAGGCAGTTTAGCAAAATTAACATGTCAACAGAATTTGACAGTATATGTAATGCTCCACATCCCCAACTCCCTTGTCTCTGCAAAGAAGAGAAGGTAGTGCATTTCCTCCTCTCTTCTTCAGAGCCAAGCTTAGTTATTAATAGAAACAATCGATTTCTAATTAAAATTCACGTCATCTACAAAGTCATTTACCGTGGAAAGAGTACAGTCGGGGACCTGGATTCAGATCTCGGCTCTGCTATTTATCTCCTCTCTAGGCCTCAGTTGACCTAGTTAATTTCTGAAGTCCCTTTCAGCCCTAAATCTCTTGACCCTCCGAGCCCAAGAGTACTCGTATTTCTCAGTAAAATTCTCTCAGAATCTAATAGTCCAATTTGGATTCAAGATGTTAAGTGTTTAAAAAAAAACAAACAGACTCTTGCAACACATAGCCATTAAACGTTGCTCGCCTTTACAGAAACGTCTATTACGCTTGAGGTTACTCAGGAAAAAGAAATGCTAGATCTTAGCTGTCCATTTGGAGGAATAAATGATCAAAGGAATAGTCTCCTTATGCTGGGCAGCATGATTATCAAGGGTACTTTAATTAACCCCGTCTATCCATTTGGTGGACTTTGATGTGAGAAATACAGCCAAGGGCTGGCTGCCCTCTGCAATGACAAAACGATCGATCCCACCTTACACAAGTTTGTCAAAGGAAGGATGACTTGCTGGCCTAGAGATCCCTTTTGAAAGACCAAGCTGCAGCCTCAATTATGCTTTCCTAAGTCTGATCTTATCACAAAAGGATGTGATAAGACATTCTTGACCTCACAAGCAGTTAATTGTGACCACTGATGCATGTGGGCATTGCTGCCCCATCCTCTGCAGTGACAGGACTAAGCTTGTCTGCCTTTGGACCCACAATCAGGAAAATGACAAACAAGAGTTCTGGCTTCAAGAGGCTCTGGCCTGTACACTGGACCAGCTCTGAAGGCCTCAGCATTTCACATCTGTTAAGGAAAGATTTTACACCCCAGGCTGACCCACCTCTACTTTTTTTTTTTTAACTTTCATATCTAAAGAAAAAAGAAACAAACTTATTAGTGAATTGACAAAAACAGAAAGTAAATAAAAAACCATCCTGTTCTAGAAGTCATCCACATTACCTAAGAGCAACCAGTGAACACAGAATAAGACGAGTTGAAACACAAGAAAAGTTGTAAAAAACAAAAAGGCAAAATCAAAAAGTCATGACTTTACTTGCTTCCAACCACATATTCAGACTTTGAGTAAAATGCATATCAGAATAGGCTTCCTTCCTTCCCTTTGAAAAAACAGTGACCCAGGAAACAGTCCTTCCTTCAAAATAAATTCACATAATTGTCAGCACTGATTATGAGGAACTCTAAAGGAAGAACTATTTTTAGTGTGAACAAGTTAGGATCCACTCAGTTGGTTCAAAATATTGTCTAGGTCAAGACTTAAGTGCTGAATTTGTCTTGATGTGGAAAATTACATAAGCATTTAAGGGTGAACTGTAATAAATAAATAAAAATAGAGAAAGCAAAACTCTAACCTGGGCTGAAAGAAGAAAAGCTCATTTAACAAGGCCTTTATTGCTATCGGTCAGTCTAGGGACCATTTTTCTTAGGCTAATATGGGAAATCAAGCTATTCTATTCTTAATATACAGCTTGCCTTTAAATAGAAAGTTATTCTAAATAAAGTCTATGACATAGAAAATGTACAGGCTAAGTTACAGTCACCTACAGAATTAACTGTGCACCTGCAATGAATGCCCTCCAACAAAATGGATGTTCACCTGCCACCGTTCTCCAGTGTGCAATGTCGCCAAAGAGAGGAGCCTAGACCTCTCCTTTAAAGGAGCTCCCAAATGGTACAGAGCCCATCTTAGGCCAGCCTTGCCTCCAAGTGCTTTTGAAAGGCCTTACCATCCTAGGAGGACAAATATCCAAGAGTATAAGTAAAGCTGAGCAAAGAGTGTACAGCTAACAAAGAGTTAAGCTGTCTTTATAAATAAATCCAGTCTACAGCTAAAGGAAACCATTTGCTGTTCCCCACCAGGAAGAAGTCCAGTGAAAAATGTGCTCCTGCTTCTATGAAGAGACTACAGCTAACTACCGGAGAGATCCTAAGGCCCTCTCCGAGTTCCCTTATCAGGCAGCCATCAAGACATGAAATGCCATCGTGGGTTTTAAAACCCCATCCTAGTCCTTATCTGCACCTTCTAGAATTCCTCCCACCAGAAGAGACTCATTTCGGAGGGAGGAATACTTGCAGTTACACTATATTCCAAACATCCCACTTCGCAGTTAAGAGAATGTGCTTATTATATAGTGATACAAATGTGCATTAGTGACCTGCCTACCTAAGTTTTCGAAAGTCTTCTACTAGGGTAAGTTCAAGGGTTTCAACACTGATTGCTTTAGCCCAGGGAAAATTCCACATTGGCTCCGAATAGCCCAGCATGCACATTCAGGGCTAAAGAGTAAGATAAGGAGCTGGAGCGCTACCAAGAGGTTGGCATGCTTTTGTTAGAACACATGGCGTGACTGCAATATGCATATGCACAGAGACAGTCCAAGGTTTACATGGTCCAAAAAAGATGGGTTCATTCACGTGTGCTTTGCAAAGAAAATGATGCCTATCCAAATTCTTTAGAGTACAATTTGAATTTCAATTAAAGCATTTTCCTTTTCCACATGTCCTATGAATCTCCCCTTACTCCTCCACATATTCAAAAAGGGAAGGAAAAAGGGAAAAAAGAAAGAGGAAAGGAAGAAGACAAAAAGACAAATCACCTTCCCTTGCCAAAAGAGAGAAATACACCCTACGGTGATAAGGCAGTATGTTTGAAAGAGAAAGCTGTGCGTGAACTGATGTTGTCTGAACATAACTTCGGTCTCTAACTCGATGTGTAATCAATCACCATGTCATTCCCGTGGCCGTCTTCACACACACACACACACACACACACACACACACACACACACACACACACACGTGACACAGTGAACCATAATCCTTGAGCAGGGTAGTACTTTGGCTGTATGTGTATTTTAAAGAAACAATCATATTAAGATAAATCAAAGTACCAACCCTGCCAAGCAATTGCTTTTTACCAAAGTGCTGGTGTTGCTGCATGACCTTGGCTTTCTCTTGCCCCCCAATCCCTACTGCCACCTCTACCCCTTCACCACGTCCAGGCTCCCTCTGACAGTCAAGAAAGGAGACAGGAGGCAAAGGCCCAAAGCGGAGCTGGAGTCTTCTGTTCTGCTCGGGCTCTTTGGCTTCTCTTGTGTCCTGGTTTAATGAGGCGTAAAGGTGAGAATCATCCAGCTAATAACAAAGTAGAAGAGGAAGATGGGGTAGACAGCAAGGGCTTTTCGATTTGGAGGCTGGCTATCAGCCAGGAACGCTGTGGATGCTGAACAACAACAAAAAGCAAATTGGCAAAGGTTAGTTCTTGCTCTAGAGCTGGCAGGGGCCTTAGAGGTCATGGAGTGCAGCTCCGTCATGTTACAGAGGAGAAAACTGAGGCCTACACAAGGGAAGAGGCTAACCCAAGGCAAACAACTAGTAAGTGTCTGAGAAAGGATTCAAACCCACATCTTCCTGATTCCAAGGCCAGCATTCTGCCCACTAAATCACTTTGTTTCTCAAGGCACCTTGAGAATAACACTGAATAAACCCTAGTAGGTAAATCTATGGTGGATCTCAAACACGCGTCAGTCAACCTCAGCTGTTTAGAACCCTGGGGGAATGAACAGAGATTTCTTACTAGTACTAAAATATTCTGGACTTTAGCCATTTTCTTCCCAAAATTTTGGATGCCCGCTTCCCTGCCAACCTAAAGAATGAATACAAAACAAAATTTTTTCTTGCTTATTCAAGGTCATCACTCAAGTGCCATGTATTGTTCTCTGCTGCACAGCAAGGCAGCCAGGATCTACTGAATTATAATAGGCTGTTTGCCCTGTACTAAAATGGCCAAGATTACTGGGCTTTCCTCATTTGGGGCGCCTGCTTAATGCAATTGGGAATCAATGAAATTAAGAGTGTGAGGGGTGTATGACAAGATCAGTTGTAAGCTTTGGGAAGATCATTTTGGTAGCAATGTAGAGGATGGACTGGAATGGGGGACCACGGCTGTGAAACCCTGTCCCCCACCCCCCATTACTTGTCCCACAATATCCCACCAGAGATCTACCCAGCCCTTCCACTGTGTGCTCTGGAATGTTTGCTCCATAGGTAACAAACATGCTTTCATCAGAAACCTTTTTCCTTTCTCACTCCTTCTATTGATACAGGCTCCCTCCTGATGACAACCCATCTCAGGGGGCCCTTTCCAGCACTGGTTGTACTTTCACTCACATCCCATGACTGGTCAATCTCAGCCTCTTGTTCTACCACCATCACTCAATAACCTTGATTCCTCCGAGCTGCATTCAATCCATGTTTACCACTCAATCAAGATTCTGGTGGCTGCCATTCCCCAACCCCCGGACATGGTCATTCTTTTTCAATGAGTTCAGTGCCTGGCTCACAGTCTTCCTCTCCTGCCCTCATACTGAGGAATTTCAACATACATTACTGATATTCACTCAAATAACCGATATTCCTCAAACAATCTAACTTCCCAGTTACTACCGGGAAACTTCTCATTTCCCATGACCTATTCCTCCACTTCACCTCAGCTATACACAAGATGGTCATGCTGTTGAGCTTATCGTTACCCACAAGTGTGCCTCATGCACGTTAATGAACTCGGAAATTCCTTTATCTGATCACAATCTGTTGTCAATCCACTTCCCCTTCTGTTCTTCATGCCCACCCTGACCTTCAATCCCTCTACTCCTCAGTCCTTTCCCAGACCATTACCTCTACATTGGTACCACTCTCCTCCTTTTTCCACCTAGACCCCTTGGTGAACCAATTCAACTCTACAATGTCCTCTTCTCTCAAGTTCCTTGACCCTTACCTCATCATTGATCGTGCTGTGCCAAACTCCAACATCCAATTATTCCTAACATTCTCTGCCTACATAGCTTAAGAGCAAAACTATGTTGACTGGGTCTTCTACAAATTTATGTCCTGTAACCTCAAGTGAAGTCTCCCTACAGCAAGGCAAATCTTTTACATCTCCCTACTCACTTCATTATCCCATTCACCACAGTGGCTCTTCCATATCTTTTTATCCTTCCTCAAACCTCACATTTCTCCTCCTGCCCCTCTCAGTTGGAAACTTTGCCTCATATTTCAATGAGAAACTCGAGGCTGTTTGAGTCGCTTCTCTCTGACTACAAATATGCCCATGTTTCCCTTATCTTCAAAAAACCCTTCCTTGATCTTTCCATCCCTAGCACTTCTATCATCCCTTCTTCCAGGCGTGGGCTAAACTCATAGAGATGGCCCTCTATAATGGATGTCTGGGCTTTCTTTCCTTTCACTTTCTTCTTAACTTTCCAGAAGGCTGGTTCCCAACATTCAATTCCATTTAATTCTTTCCAAAGTTACCAAAGATCTCTACCTTTTCTTACTCCTCATCCTCTTGATGTCTCTGTAGCCTTTGACACTGTCAGTCACTCTCTTCTTTGATATTCTATCTAGTGACCCTGCTCTCTCCTGGTTCTCCTCCTCCCTGTCTGACCACTCCTCCTCTGGCTCCTTTGCTAGCTCTTCATGCAGGTCACATCTGGTGGGTGGTGGAATGTCCCCCAGGGCTCCCTTTTCTCTTCTCTCTATATACTCTTTTACTTGATTTCATCAACTCCCACGAATCAATTATCACCTTCATGCTTCTGATTTCTAGACCTATTTATCTAGCCCTAAACCTCTCTCCCTACCTCTAGATTCCCATCTCTAACTGCCTGCTGAATAGCTCAAACTGGATGACTTACAGACATCTCAAACTCAACATGTCCAACACCAAACCCATTAGCTTTCCCCTAAAATCTTTCCCATGACTGTCAAGGATACCACCATACTCCAAGTCACTCAGGCTTCCAACCTAAGTCTTTAGGATCAGACATCAACTTCACTATTCCCCAATTGTTGGAGTTCTTCACAAACTGGCCCCAACCTACCTTTCTGGCCTTTTCAACGTTGTCTCTTTCCCACATTTTAATCTAACCAAACTGGCTTTTGTGCCTTTCCTCACATGTGACCACCCATCTCCCACTACTGCAATGGTCTCCCTCCTTACCTCTCTGCCTCAGAGCACTCCTTTGTTCTTTTGAGACCCAGCTCAAGTCCTCAAGTCCCTTCTACATGAAGGTTTGCTCTCACTCCTCCAGCTGCAGGTGTCCTCCTTGGCAACCATCTTGTATCTATTTTCTATATGTAATCTTATTGAGGGTGAGGACTATTTCATTTTGGTCTCAATATCCTGAGTACCCAGCACAGTGCCTAGCACATAGGATGCACTTATTGATTGACTGAATGGGGGGTCAAAGGAGATTCAGATGAGATTTTAGTGCATGGACCTTGTCCCCTCTGTTCTGGCTGCTTTAGAAGGCCTTTAAAAAAATCTTGATTATGATCTAGATAAGCAAAGTCTCACCAAACTTCAAAAGATTAGGCTGGTTAACTTCCAGGGGGGCTTTGGGTTTTTAGTAAATCTTGATAATATGAAAACAATTGCTCTGGCACAATATGGCAAAAAACGTGTTGGATATAACATCAGAGGACCTGAGTTTGAATGTGAGATCTCCTATTTACTGCCCATGTAATCTTACTTGGGACAAGTCACAAGTTCCCTGGGCCTTAGTTTGCCCCTCTGTAAAACAAGGGGACTCTGATCTCTTAGGGCTGTTCCAACTCTAAACCAATGATACTAAGAATATGCAGCATCCATCGCTAGTCCAGTCTGCCTCATCTTGAAGAGAACCTTCCCTGGGTTAGAGCTAATTGAGCCTTTTTAGGATCCTAACTCAGTTTAATGTGAGAGCCTTGCTTGTCCATTATTTTTTAAAAGACGAGATTTTCACCTTGAAAGCCCGTGTACCTACTCCTTAGTAGGTGGGATTGTCCTCTGACTAGTATGACAGAAAGTTCCTGTCTATAGGAAAGCACCGGTCAGGAACTTAAGATCAAAATGGGCCATAATTCTATAGCATTTTAATGTTTATAGAGCCCTTTTCTCATGACAAAGCCAGGAGGCAGTTAGTGCAAGAATACTCCTATTTGAAAGCTCAGAGAAGGCAGCCAGATGGTGCAGTGGATATAGTGACAGGTCTGGAGTCAGGAAGACTCCTCTTCCTGAGTTCAAATCTAGCCTCAGACACTTATTAGCTCTGTGATAATGGGAAAGTCACTTAATCCTGTTTGCCTCAGTTATCTCATCTGTAAAATGAGGAGGAAATGGCAAATCACTCCAGTATCTTTGCCAAGAAAACCCCAAATAGGGTCATGAAGACTTGGACACAACTGAAAAATGATTGAACAATAATAAACACTCTTTACTCTAAGGGGCAGCTACGTGGTGCAGTGGATAGAGCACCTGCCCTGAAGTCAGGAGGACCTGAGTTCAAATCTGGCCTCAGACCAAACACTTGTCACTTATTAGTTGTATAACCCCGGGCAAGTCACTTAACCCCAATTGCCTTAAAAAAGAAAAAAAAGGAAAAAAAAGAAAGCTCAGAGAATCCTAGATGACCTCAGAGGCCACCTACTCTGATCCCCTCATTTTACAAGGGAGGAAACCAAGGTCCAGAGAGGGAATGTGATTTGCCCAAGGACACAAACAGATCACATACCTAAAGATGATATGGACCCTTAGAGACCATTTAGTCCAAGCCTTTCATTTTACAGATGAAGAAACTGAGGCCCAGAGAGGCTAAATGACTAGCTCCTGGTCAAAGAGATACAAAGGTTTTAGCTCAATTCTTGGGTCCAAATCCCAAATTACCAGTGACCCCAACATTTGCCTTCATAAAGCATAGCGCTCCCAGATATACTTTTACCTCTAACCTATGTTGTGTCTTGTTGGAGAATCAGAAAATGGATGTTTTCTTACCTAAGGTGGACCAGGCAAACATCGCAATCACCACGATAAGCCGAATAAGGAAGTTGATAGGTCCCATACCAGCCAGAAGTACCAGTCGGCACACCAGCATAGCCACCGTTAAGGGCAAGACACAGTAACCCAAGACACAGAGACTCTGAAAGAATGATCTGAGGAAAAGAAAAAAAAAGCCAGAAAGTTAAAGAAAAACCAATTACTCATCAGGACAGTCAAAGCCCACACTGCAGGATGAGGATACTTCAGAGACTCGACTACAACATGGAAGACCCACACCAATCCCACAAGGTAATACAGCCTGCTAGAACACAGCAGACCTCCCCGAGATGAGTGGAGCTGCCCTCAGCTTCGGTGTAAAAAAGGTATTGCAATTCATGAAAACATTTCTGTTCTCTGCTCACTTCCCCTTGAAGATGCTTCTCCTAATTAAATGACCTCTTTAATCACTAACAGCAGCATCAAGCTGCCTACCTTGGGGAATGGGAGGCCTTCTTCTCCCAAGTGGGCTTCAAAGTCACATGATGAAGATCACCTGGGTGCCCTCTGCCTGGCACTTCTACCACAATAAGCAAGAGAGATGTCTCTTTGGTAGGGAGGGCCTCCCTTTCAAAGACCGGCCAGCAATGTCAGTCTGATTTTGCCAGAACTCTAGATATGCTACATAGAAAGGAGAGAAAAGGGGCTGGCTTTAAGCATTTCCCCAATACTCACATAGTCCCCCCAAGAAGTTTCGAATTTAGTGTTATGACAACTGCACCAAACCAGATGATGACAAAAACTTCAGCAAATTGGGGTCCGCCATCTTCTTTACTATCCGCAGAGCCTCCCTGCAACATCCTAGGGCAGAAAAGCAAAGGACCAAGCCAGGGTTGATCGGAAAGTTTTTATCAATTAATGTACATTTCTTAAGCACCTTCTATGTGCCAGGCCCTGTGCTAGTTGCTATAGACACAAAAAAACTAAGAGACAACCCCTACTTTTCTCAAGAAACTTACATTCTAACAGCAGAGATAACAAGGCTATACAAAACTACATAGAGAATAAATATAAAGAGAAGAAATCCAAGGTTGTTGGGGAATGAGGGCACTAGCAGTTGGGGCTACATGCAGAAAGGGCCGCATGACCTAGGCCTTGCAGGATGAGAGGGATTCAAAGTCAAGGAGAGGGAGGAGTACCTCCTCCCTGGCCTGGGGATGAGCAGGGCAAAGGCTGTGATGTGTGCCTTGCCATGTCACCTGAAATTCTTGGTTAATGAGAGAGCTCCAAGAGCCAGCAGGTAAGAGTCTTCTGGCCACACTCTGCTCACAAACTTCCCCATTTCAGGGGATGCAGTGTGACAAGTGGGGAGACCGGCGAGAAGCCTGACTTCTCTAGTGCCTCCACTTACTCGCTGGATGGCAGATCGATTTCCCTGTCTGGGCTTCAGGTTTTTCAATATATAAAAGAATAAGGCTGGTCTAGCTATGCTCAACTCAAATATTCTAAGTGTGTTACAGCCACAAGGCAGTGATGTGACCAAAGGCTTGAGCCCCCAGACCACTGCTGCTGAGTGACTTGTTAGGAACTCCTGGGTTACAGTCTCAGTTCTAGCTACCTTTAAATGGAAAGATCTGTATTCACTTATGTTTAGCAAATGTATGTGGAACTTCATTTAGAGGCATAATTCTTCATTTGTGTACTTAGAGGCCACTTAAATGAACTACTAATCTGCTGGAAATTTTTTTTTTTAATATCAGAGCTGTGATCTCATTGGCAGGGTTGCATTTGTGGGTAGGAAGCTGACCTCAGAGTCAGGAAAAACTAGGCTCAAGTCTTGCCTCTGAAACATCCTGGAAATGTGACCACAGGAAGTCACTTAAACCTCTCAGGGCCCTAGGGACCTCTCAAAGATGGGAAATTTCAGAACAAGAGCCCACCTGCATTGGAAAAGGAGTTCCTCACCAGGAGTTCCCTATTAACATTTATGGACCCAATTCTTTGGAATGTTCCCCTCTTAGATTGCACACCCACTGCTCTAGATAAGACTTTAGGTTGTAGAGAAGGTGCTGCCCTGTACTAGTTGGCAAAGGGAACTTCCTTCCTCACCCAGCATTTGTCTGCCCCAAGGAAATCAATTACAAGGCCTGTCCCCATCCTTCTGCCTAGATTTGGCTCAGCATTCTAACTTGGGAACATTTTGGGAGCCTTAACTTGGTTAGCCCATGCATTAGCAATACCTAAAAGCGTAAAGCTTTGTGTCTTCCACAAATTGGAGAAGAAAGCCATTTATGCCTTCATCCCAGTCCCTAACACAAGTGTTGACTGGGATGGAGCCAAAAACAAAGCCAGCCTTTGAGGCACTCTGCTAATCAACACTTCTAGGCCTGGGCCTGCAAGCAGTGCCAAATCTCGCCAACTCGAACATCACTTTGTCTACACGTCTCCATCTTGTCCACAAGGATGGTGTGAGAGCTTTGTCAAATGGCTCGTTGAAAACCAGGCATTTGGACTTTTCCCAATTAATTAGGCTGATAAGCCACTACAGCACTCTGGCACACTTCCGGTGTGCCAGCCCTAGTAACTAATCAGAAATGGTAAATGAGATGAGGCCATGTGATTTGTTCTTGATGAACCTACATTTGTGATCATTTCCATTTCTAATCACTCCCAAACTATCTCTTTAATAACAGGCTCTCGAATTTTGTCAGGAACTAAAGTTAAGCTCACTGGGTTACAGATGGGAAGACCCTCCCTTTCTTTATTTTTATCCCTTTTTTTTTTTTGGCAAGGCAGTTGGGGTTAAGAGGCTTGCCCAAGGTCACACAGCTAGTTAAGTGTATGAGGTCGCATTTGAACTCAGGTCTTCCTGACTCCAAGGCCAAAGCTTTATTCACTGCGCCACCTAGCTGCCCCTCCTTTCTTTATTTTTACATAAGAAGTTGTTAACCTGGGCTCTGGGGACTGATTTCCAGGCTGGGAGTGTGTGTCTGTGAACTGGAAAGGGAAAGCAATTCCTCCTTTATTTTCACTACTGTTTCACTGAAATTGATCATTTTCTCCAATTACTTAAAAATATTATTCAGATAAAAGGTCCATAAGCTTCGCCAGACTTCCAAAAAGGGGTTCATGAGATAAAAAAAAGGTTAAGAGCTCTTGCTTTATAGAAATTAACTTACTTGCCATTTACAATACTTTTGGACAGTACTTTAAAGTTAAAGCACTTTATTGTCTTATTAGACTGTCACAACCTTACCAAGTAGATATAACCATTTTGCAAATGCGGAAACTTAGGCTAAATGACTTATCCAATGTCATATAGTAAGCAGCAGAGTCAGAAGTCCTGTGTTCAGGTCTAGCGTTTGATAGGCCAGCATCCTCTATGTCAATAACCGATGATGATGATGATGATGATGGTGGTGGTGGTTCTTAATAGATACTACATGGATCTTATCACTCAGAGTTTCTAATTCAATCAGGGCAGGAAATGTTTTACTGGTCGTGGCTTTCAAATCAAAGACAAGAGAGATGGCCCAAAGATGAATTCCCAAATCAACACACACCCAGAAGCCAAAATGAAACAAGATAAACAGTAAGCAATGTATCAGATTTGTGGCCCAACCTCACTTAAATCTGTGTGAGCCTCAATTTCCTCATCTGTAAAATGGAGAACATTAGGGCACATATTACCTATGTCAAAGGGCTGGCAGAATCTTATGAGATGAAGAGACAAAGGGCTTCTTACCTCACTCCCTCTCTAGCCTCCCCTTCCATATAAACAAACAGATACAACACCAGGGGTTCCCAACCTTTGTCAGTCCCTATACTCCTTGGATTCTAGTAAAGCTTTCTCTAACTCCTGATCAATCTGAAAGGGGGCAAATTCTAGAGTTTATCACACATACATACAGAAAAAAACCCAAACCTGTGAATAATTTTAATAGGATAACACAGTAATTTACCAAATGTTCTCTGTACTCTCTTGACAAGCTTCTCACAGGGGTCAAGAGTGGAAAAAGTTTAAGAAGCCCTGCTGCAGGCCATAAGCAACTGAACAATCATCAAACCTATTAGGCTGGGTTCTATTTTATTTGCTATGAAAGTGTGTGCTCCCCCCCTCTAATTCGTTCATTCATTCATTCATTCATTCATTCATTCATTCATTCATTCATTCACACTCTCTCTCTCTCTCAGTTGGCAGGATTTTCATCTATATTTATGCTGATCTATAGACAGATGTTTCATTTTCTCAGGACAGTGAGAGGGAGGATGATTGGAAGAAGGCAGGTACAGCTAATACAGGATATGAAGAATGATTGATAAACATAGGTGGCATGGTTGGAGGACAGATAACCCTAGAAACTCCTGTGGATGGGTTTGCAAGGCTTGCTCAAGACTTTCCATATTTAGGGACTTAAAGAAGACATCATCGAGTGGGCAATGGTGTTATATAAACACGACAAAAAGGCTCTACGTGAAATCACTCAGTCAAACATTTCCTCAATTCTGAAGCCCCACAATAGCTTTGAAAGGCTTACTTCAAAAGGAAGAAATAAGTACTTACAGTGCAAGCGAAACACAAAGGACTAAAGGGCCCCAGAGATCCCCTACAAGGCAAAATCATAAACGTTAAGCTGTATTTAGCAAATAAAAGGAAGAACACGATAAGGCACATTCTGATATTGGTATTTTCTGGCCCACCAGCTATGTCAAGCCCTCCCACTCCTAGATGTGGCTATCAAGGAGGCCCTGCAAGACTGAACCTGGCCTGTCCTATTGTGGTCCCTTGCTCGCTCTTTCTAACTCTGTTCCACTGAGTCCACTTCTTCCTCTCCCACCTGGCACTTCGCCCTCACTGGGACTCATCCCCAAGTTGAGTCATTCTCTTCTCACCTAATGAACCACGGTCCAGTGTTAAGCACCAAAATCCCCCCAGGAGCCCACAAGCTGGCCTAGAGTTGGCTCTGTCCCATATTAGCACATGGCCTTGTGCCGACACCTATTTCCAAGCCTTAGTTCCCTCATCCAGAAAATGGGGATACCATCTGCCCTGCCTAACTCACAGGCCTGTTTCAAGGATCAAATGAAATACGTGTAAAACCTTGCTGGAAATTTCAAAATCCATCAATACAAATAAAATATCATCTTCACCCTCATTAACATTCCTCTAAGTCAGTAAGGCACTGCTTCAAGCCCACATCCCAACTAACCTGAAAATGGTAGAAGACCTACACCAAAGCTCAAGGCTCAGATTGGTTTGGTTCAGTCCTGTCAGTTTATCCTGGTGTGATGGCTCCCTCTGCTGGCACACCCTGGTAACTTGTCTGCAATTTGCAGTCTGAATCAGAGGCCTGGGGCATTGCTCAGTCACAGACTGTCAGAAGTGGAACCTGAACCCAAGGCTGGCTGGCCTTCTAGCTACCAGCCACACTGCCTCTTACCCTCAATCTCATATACCAAAGAGGAGAGAAGCACTTGTTAAGAGCCATTTTTAGTTCTTTCTGTAGGCAAAATGTCTAAAGCAGCTAGGGGGTGCCACAGTGCTGGGCCTCCATCCTCAGACACTAGCTCTCTGACTCTGGGCAAGTTACTTCACCTTTGCCTCAGTTTCCCCAAATGTAAAATAATAGCATCTACCTCCCAGGGTTGCTGTGAGGATCCAATGAGATAATATTTGTAAAAAGTGCTTGGTACAGTGCGTGGCACATAGTAGGTGTTTAATAAATGCTGATTCCTTTCCCTGGTCTATCCCTCATCTTTGCAAATAGCAAGATGAGCCATTCAATTACATAGGAAAGCTAGGTTCAGGACTTAAAAAAAAAAATAAACTAAAGAACAATGATGAGAAATGACATTTTAAAAAAGCCTTTGTTATTGGCCCTAATTGTTAACTTAATGCTTTTTTTCTGTTGTTTTTTTGGGGGGGGCTAGGCAATGGGGTTAAGTGACTTGCCCAAGGTCACATGGCTAGTAAGTATCAAGTGTCTGAGGCCCGATTTAAACTCAGGTCAGGTGCTCTATCCACTGGGCCATCTAGCTGTCCCAACTTAATGTTTTTTAAAAAGCTGTACTCAAGCTTTTGTCAGTCATAACACCTGAGATCTGGCTGAAAAGCAGCCCAGCAGCAGCAGAAAGGGCAGCAGGCTCAGGGCCTTAAGGCATCTCCATTTTCACCTTCCCCTGCCCCCCACCCCACCCCCAAGGCCCCCAACCTATCTGCTTTCTTGTAGGGTCGGGCTGGGCCAATTTCTCCATGGTACTTTTCCCTATCTGGGTTGTGGCTAATGTCCTTCAGGAATCAATAAACTGAGTCTGTGCTGAACAAGAGTTCTGCCTGCTTTTTCTAATTGAACTGCTCTGATTAGGGGACCTGAGGATGTCAAAAGCGGATTAAAAAAAAAAACACAAAAACAAAACCCCAACAAAAAACAACCCCACCAAACAGCAAGCACACGATAACAGCCTGGAGGAAGAAAAACGAAAACAAGCAGAATTCATTATTTTGCAAAGCTACTAAAACGTCGAGGCAATAAAAGCAGTAGCCACAGTCTCCAAAAGCAAACTTCCTAGGAGAACAGAAATGCCCAAAGGGCAATCTATTCACTTGCTAATAACTCACAATAGGAAGGAGCTTTGTAATGGTAAAAGACAATTAGAAAGGTGGGGGATTTTTCAAATAACAACAATGATTTTTGATTGACATTAACAGCTTGGGAGCACAAAGAGCCAAAGTTCAGGTCCCAGGGCTGAGCAGTCTTGGCTATGTGACCCTGGGCAAAATTCACTTACACCTTCAAGTTCTGAGGAATGCCCAAAGACCAGAAGTTCCACATCTGTAGAGGGCATTTCTCTTGATATTTCCCTATGCCTATACCAGAGGTGGGGAAGCCACTGCCTCAAGGCCACACTTTGAAATCTGGATTCAGTCAGAGGGCCAGACTTGAGGACCTAGAGGGTCACGTGTGGCCTGTAGGCCCTGGGTTCCCCACCCCTGCCCTACACCAATGAAATCATGGTCTAGGGCCTATCCCTAACCAGCTCTAGGTAAGACAACATAGGATTTTAAGGTAAAGGGGAATTTAGAAATTATCCTACCCAAACTTCTGATCTATTATAGAGAGGAAGCCTGAGGCCCCACAAAGGGAAATGATTTGTCCAAGGTCACACAACTACCGGACTACAAATCCAGTGACCATGCTGCTTATTAAATCTCAATTATTTTTGATTTTAAGGTCCTCATGAGCACACATTCTGTCTTACTTATCTCTGCATCTTCTATGCATGGTAGGCATTCAATGGGGAGAGATTTGACTGTTTATCTCACTGTCTCCATGAGCTCCTTAAAGGCCAAAGTGCCATCTTTCTTTCCAGACGTCTTTATCCGGGGTTAGCAGCTTCTCTGAAGTCAGCAGCTAGGGACACATCTATTGGGGCACCATCTCTGGACAAGATGCTCAGTGCCTAGCCACTAAGGATGAAAATGTGCAGGAGAAACTTTCCACCTTGAGCATGTCACTCTTGCCGAATCACTATTTCTTCCTAGAGTTCTTTTATGATTTCTTTGGGATCATGGTATTTATGATTTCTTTGTGGATCATGAAAAGTTGTGTGTTCCTGCAACACCTTTCCCTTTCTAAAAATCTAACAGACCTACAACAGAAAGAATGGAATCTTGAAAACCTGATACTCACAATCTCTCAAGAGTGCATTGCTTTTTTTGGGGTACATGACATGAACAAATTTTTTTCCAACAGCCTTCAGGTCTCGAATCTGAAAGACACAAACCACTGCCTTAGCGCACTGAAACAGGTTCCCAATACAACCTCATCTCTGTCTTGCTGTCTAATACGAACCCAGGTGAATACAATGGTAGAACTAGAATGCCTTAGAGATTATCTAGTCATTTTACAAATGGTGAAACTGAGGCTCAGAGAAGTTATTTTAAAGCTAAGAGTGACCATTTTGTCCAGGGGTGTTTCAAGTTTTTTCAATAGCGAGCCACATAATCAGAAATCCTTATGGGTAGGGACCAAATAAATTACAATTCATGCTCTGTGGTATGATGGCTGGTGGCACGCCAGTAATACAACAGCAGCCTCAAAAGGGGATTCGTTCTGTGAGGTTTGGATTCAAAGGGCTGCACTTGAGGACCTAGAGGGCCACATGTGGCCACAAAGCCACAGGTTCCCCACCCCCAGTCTACACTTTTAGAGTTCCACTAGGTTTGTGCTCAGGTTGGAAAAGCTCTGGAGAATGAGAATGAATTCTGATTTTGTTAACACACACACTTGTGCTGTTAGAAGCCACACTGGTAGGCCCTACAATCTCTACCAGAAAGGTCTGAAAGGGGCCCAGTAGTCTGACCCCTGGTTAAAGGCCCCACTGCCATATACTCAAAGAAATTTGGTCTCTTAACATTCCCATTTTAACTGGTAAATGAACCAAAAGAGTTAAGTAAAGAATCACCTATAAACACAACCTGAATGTTATTTCAATAAGCAAACATCAATACAAATTACCTAGTTTTTTTCCTCCCTCAAAGGTGGTGGCATCATATAGTGTAGTGCAGATGAGATTTGGAGTCAGTCAGAAGACCTGAATTCCTGTCATAGTTCTGCCACTCACTGTTTCTTTTCTCCGGGCCTCAGTTTCCTCATTTCTAAATCATTCGAGGACAGGCTTGATCCCTCAATCCCAGGCCTACCAAATCTGGGGCTGGCCCCTTTCACTACATTTCCTGGAGCTGGACTTACAATGGTCTCTTTCACAGGTTCATCTAACGTAGAATAGTCTTCATCCTGGGAGTGAGATGCCATTGGCACTGTGATCTCTCCCTCCACAGGGATATCTTCTGAGATGGATACATCAGAAAGACCTAGGAACTGAGAAAAGGAAAAAAAAAAAAGAAAGAAAAACGAATTAAATTAATTAATTAAAACTCCAAACCAATTTTCATTTTCTTCAGACACCGGACTTTTGCAGCTTTTATATATCAGCTAGTGAAATAAGCCACCTTAATATTTAACAATGAATGACACCTACGTCTAATTCTTTGCAGCTTGAGGAAAAAAAGGGGGGGGGGGCTTTATGATACAAGACAATAAAAAAGTAAATGTTAACAGGAGGTATATTTAACCGATGAGCCTTGGCTTTCTCATTTGTAAAATGAGGAAGCTGAGCTGGATAAGTGTGGCAGTCCCTTCTGGTGCTCAATCAAGGATCTGAAGCAGGAAATTTGAGTGTCTGGATCAGGGGTGGATTTGTTCTGTGAAGTCTAGATTCAGTCAAAGGGCCACACTTGAGGACCTAGAGGGCCACACATCACCTTGAGGGTTCCCAGTTTTGCAACACTGAGCTCATTCAGAGAGTGATGGAAGGTTGAGAAAGTGATTTCACCACAACAACCCTGCCAAGTAAGGTCTCATTAGGGTTGGGAGGGGACCTGTAATGACATCACTGTAGGGAGTGCGCGGTGAGCAACTCCCTCGGCCAATACCTGTGTGCCTTACAATTCTGGTCTGCAGAAATTGGTCACAGGTGAGATAGGAACCCAGGTTTTCCTGGCCCCAGGGCCAGTTTTCTACATACAGTGCCATGCTGTCTCTCTAGCGTCTCATTTTCCTCATTTTTTAAATGAGGAAGCTCAGAGAGGTGAAATGTATAGTCACAAAGCTAGGAGTATGCAAAAATTTAAACCCAGGCCTATAGGTCCAAGTCTAGACTCTTTCTATTAGAGAGTACAGAAAATTTTTGTAGGACAACTGACTGACATTCCTACCACGAAGTTAGCATATAAAAATTTTCTTTGCATTAACAGGGAAAATGGCATCTGATAAAATTCAGCATCTGCTCAATTAGGATTCTAAGGGAAATTAGGTACAGCAGGTTTCTTTCTGAACATGCTCTACCACAATTTGGTTAGCACAGAAGAAACAATGCTGGCTTTGAAGTCACAGGAGCCAACTTCAAATCCCGACATGGTATTACCTAGACGAGTCCCTTTCCTTCTTTGGGCCTTGGTTTCCTCAGCTGCAAAAGGAAGGGTAGCCTAAAGGTTTCCAAGCAAGCCGAGGGTGAATGATCCCTTTGAAGTAATCCAGTACCTGGGGTTCTTGGTCAGGTGCATATTGGACTAGCTGGGCCCCCAACTCTGAAGATCTTGGGGTTCAGTGACCCTAAGGCCCTTTACAACTCTGCAACTTCTAGACAGAGACAGGCCTGGAGACCTGTGACTTCACTGGTGTAGGGAGCACACTATGAGAAAGTCCCTTTAAAGGGACAGGCAGCACCTCCTTGGTAATTGACAGTCTTAGAGGGTTGTCTTCGGCATGCAGAGGTTCATGATTTTGTGCCAGGTCAAACTGCCACAGTGTCAGAGGCAGGACTTGAACCCAGGTCTTCTTGGCTTCCAGGTCAACTCTCTATGATGTTGCCTAAAATATGTGACCTGCTGAAAATCAAGAACCAATATTATGCTTAATGGAAAAACCCTAGTGATATTCCTCTTTAAAACAGAGTAAGAAAGGGTGTTCTAGGGCAGCTAGGTGGAGAAGTGGATAGAGCACTGGCCCTGGAGTCAGGAGGACTTGAGTTCAAATCTGGTCTCAGATACTTGATGCTTACTAGCTGTATGACCCTAGGCAAGTCACTTAACCCCAATGCCTCAAAACAAAACAAACAAAAACACCAGAAAGGGTATTCTCTGTTATTACTTATATTTAACATGTTAACAGAAATGATGGCTATAGTTATTAAAGAAATAAAAGATACAATTACAGGAAATAAGATATTACTCTTTGGAGTGATATAATTATATAGGAAATTAATGCAAAAATGACTACAAATGACAAACTAATTCAGTGAAGGTGAAGGATAAATGCAGCAAAATCAACAGTACTATAGTTTATCCATGACATAGAAATGCAATTTTTAAACAAGAGAAATTCCATTGGCAACAGTGACCAAAAATACTACTTTACTTAGGAGGCACAAAATTTGGCCAAAGAAAATTATTAAAACTAATGGGAAAAATAAAAAAGGGAAGATAAATGGAGCAATACGGGAAATATAATGTATTAGACAAGAAAAATTTCCCTAAATTAATTATAGATTTAAATCTCCAGGGATTTTATAGCGTTTGATAAACTGCAAGTGAAAATCATGGGCAAAAAAAAAAATTTAAAAACAAAATAAAAATTAAATTGCTACCTTGACATAAGTAAACACACGGAGTACCTACTTGAGGTCCCTCAAGGTCATGTTTTCATGGCTTTAAATTTTGTAATGTGTTTTTTCTTTGCTTCCTGTTGTTAATCAATTGGTAGGGAGTAGCTGTTATGCAATGTACATTTCCAAATAGTTGCTGTGCATTTGGAATCATCAGAATATCCTAGTTGTGTGGAAATGAGGCTTTTGTATGCTAATGACTTGGCACTGAAGCACAGCCCCATTTCTAAACTTTAGGTCAATTACTAGAAGTTTCATGTTCTGCACTGCTGGGCAAGCTAATGTGACTTTTGTTAGCTCAGAGGCTGCAATACCCCTTATTTAGTGCAAAAATTTCCAGCCACAGGAAAAAAAAAGAGAATTTACTGCATAGTAATGCAAATTGAGAGACAAGCTCACAATTTAGATCCACTATTTTTACTTTAACTTTGGCCATTGAGGGGAGACAGCATGGTAGAGTAGGAAAAAAGAGGAGTAGAGGTCAGATTCTGTCCTTACCTCTATGATCACAAGCAAGTAGTTTAACTTTTTGGCCTCATCTCTAAAATGAGAGGGTTGAATTAGCTAGATGACTGTTGAGGTCTCTTCCAGTTATCCCACGGATAGGATACTGGACAAATCAGGAAGACCTGATGTGGAATCCTACCTCAGACACTTATTAGCTGTGGGATCCTAGGCAAGTCACTTCAACTCTCTCAGCCTCAGTCTCTCTATCTGTAAAATGGGGCTAATAATGAGGCACCTACCTCATAGGATTGTTGTGTGGATCTAATGAGACAACAAGTATAAAGTGCTTTGCAAACCTAAAAGTGCTATATACATTTTCCTTATTATTAAATCTACGAGATAAACCATGAAATTTTATATTGGGTTGCATATGTGTAGAGAGTAATGCGACCTAACTTCTCACAACAATCATACGTGTTATATAAGTCACCCTGTGCTGATTTTTTTTCCTGGTCTTTTTTTTTTCTTTAAAAAACACAATTTGTTATGTGGGATGACTCTCTGGAAGGAGGAGCAAACAAGGGAGGGGGAGGGATAGTGGAGATAAATATGATGATGTAAGAAAGCAAGACATTAATAAAAATCATATTCAAAAAGTCAACCTGTGCAAAGTGTTCCTTAAGATCTGAAGCTGTTAACTCAAGGCCACATCTCTTTCAGTAAAGTGCTTTGGCTCAAAAAAAAAAATCATCGGCAAGAAAAGGAGGCAAGGTTATCTAATGTGCATATTTTAAAAAATAATCTTGAGGGACACATCCCAACAGATTTTAAAACATTACAAAGTGAGAATTAGCACAATTATTATTGGGTTAAAAACGAAATCCACTGAAGAGAACAAATTCAACATTCTTTTAAGAACTTAAGGTGACAAGTTAGAAGCAATATAACAATGGGGAAAGGCATTTCTTCTTAATAAACAGTATGGGACAACTAAAGAGCGAATGATTTGAATCCATGCCTCACAATACACAGAGCAAATAAAGCCCAGTTGGGTTTTTTTTATATTTACAAAAAGAGAAAAAGGATTAGTATAGTTATCCCAGTTTTAGAAGGGAGATACATTATTGAGTATTGAAGACATGGAGGAAAACTGGATATAGTATGATTTTGTGTCAATATATAAAAGTAAAAACTTTTTAGGGGCAGCTAGGTGGTATAGTGGATAGAGCTCCAGTCTTAGAGTCAGGAAGACCTAAGTTCAAATCCAGCCTCAGACACTTGACACTTACTAGCTGTGTGACCCTGGGCAAGTCACTTAACCCTGACTGCCTCACCAAAAAGAAAAAACTTTTTATATAATGAAATGCAATATTTTTTAAAAACACATAATATTAATATATAATATTAAAAGAAAAATAATGGAATGGGAAAAGGTATGTGATAAATATAATTCAGAAAATACATAAAGAACTGGAAAAAAGTATAGGAGGGGGGAAAGAACACTTAGATATGAGAAAAAATAGATAACATCTGATACAAATATTGGTTTAACATTTGCAAAGCGTTTTACATGCATTATCTCATTTGATCTTCACAATGAAATAAAATATCACACTAAAAATATGCACAGATTTACTTAGCAATTCAGGAAAGACTAAAATTAAAACAATTTTAAAACTGTAGATCTTACAAGTATCAAATTGTCAGGGATGTGAGAGAACACTTACATGCTGATGTTGCTGGAAATTAGTTCAATCTTTTGGATGGAGAAGAATTTCCTAACAGGCAACCAGAGTTATAACAGATAACTTTGGCAGTGGCAAGCCTCAGTTAGGAAGACCTGGCCACCACCCGCCTCAGAAAAATACTACAATGTAACTCTGGACAAATGATTCTTAACTTCTTAGCACTCCAAGTAACTTTTACTTAAAGGATTTAGAATTATGGAAGCTGGGTTCAAATCCTGCCTCTGCCACGGTAAGCTGTGTGACTCTGAGCAAGTCACTTCCTCTCTCTGCTTCTTTCCTCATCTGTAAAACCACGATCCTAAGAGATCATGTTAAAGATGAGCTGACAATTTGCACCTGTGAAGGGAGTTTCCACACAAGTTCATGAAATCACAGGTCCGGACCCCCTACCTTATAAGAAATTAAGAGTTACAAAAGTGTTCATGGCTATTGGTATTGTAACTCTAACTCAAGGAATGACCAAAGGGAGCTGAGGGGGAAGGGGTGTTGTATTTTCACAAGGATGTTCTGTAATCATACGATTAAAAATATTATGAAAATTGGAGGCATAATGCAACGTCTTGAGAATGAGATCCGGGTTCAATCCTGACTATCTTGGATAGTCACTTTCCCTCCCCGTGCCTCAGTTTCCTCTCCAGTAAAACAAGGGGTTGGACCAGATGGTCTCTGAGAGCCCCGACAGCTTAAACTATCTGTGATTCTGAAATATTTAGGAAACTCCCAAAGCAGGAAGACAAAGTTGGAAGGAGTAAATAGAACAAGAGCTGTGGGACGGGGAGAATACTGGCCCATTTCTGGGAAGGTTGGGGGGAGAGGGGAAAGGAGACATTAGACAGTCGTCAGGCTGAGACAAGAAGGCCCCTGAGAGGCGGGCGCTCGGCTCCTTCTCCCCCGCTTCCCAACCCCCTGGCCCGTCCGGGCTCCCTCTTGCCTTGGCCCTAATCTCACCCCGGGTTTGGTCGCAGTCTCACCCACCGTCCGATCGTCTGCTTCAGCCATCTTCAGGATTTCTCTTCCTCCTCAGGGCGCAGGCGCCAAGACTGCGACGTGGAGCTCCGGGGCTGGGCTGGCGCGCGTCGATGACGTCACAGACAAGAGCCTATCACGGACGTCACAGTCGGCAACTCTAACAACACTTCGTCCCGCCCTTCGCTCCGCCTCTCTTTTGTTTCCAGGCTCTCGCTCTGCCCAGGCTCTCGCCCTGCCCTGCCTCTCGCCTCCACTGAATTAACCTGGCTTCTGGGCACCTCCTTGCCACCAAGTCCGACCCCACATCCAGAAGGAATCCGTTCCCTAGACACTGTTTGCAGACTTCCAGTGACGGGGAGCTCACTGCCTTACAAGATCTTCCGTTACCCTTTTGTGAGGAAGTTTGTTTCCTCTTATCAAACATAAATGCCTCCGGGGCCAAACACAACAAATCTAATCCCTTTTCCACGTGACAGCTCTTCAAATACTTGGGGACAACTGTCCTGTCACTGAGTTTTCTAAACACACGCAAGTAACTCAACCAGTCCTAGTACCGCATAACCTCTCTTGGTTGTCTCCCCGCCTTCACCCCCAACCTCACCCCGTTCCCTTCCCCCACCCCCACCCCGTCCCTGTCCCCATAACTGTTCCTTTACACTTAATCTCTAATTGAATTTTATCTTGTTAGATTCAGCCCCGTGTTCTACCCTGTCAAGATTTCTTTGGGTCTGAAGAGTTGAAGTGATAATAATTATGATAATGATAACAACAATGATAATGATAAGACAGATCTAAAGATCTTTTAGATCTTAGAGATCTAAAACTTGGAGGGACCATAGAGGTCATATAGTCCAACCCCTCATTTAACAGATGAGCAAACTGAGGCCTGGAGAAGTCACAACTTGTTACAACACAGGTAGTAACAACAGGAATTCCCATTCAGGTCCTTAACTCTCAAGTTCAATGCTTTTCCCACTGCATTTCCGAGTCTAATGATAGATGATAATGCTTAAAGAGCTGGAGAATACCTGTAATTTTAAAGTCATTCCAGTCAACTGTTAATAACAAACAATATTTTGTATGTTCCCTCACACTATTATTACTTTTGTCTTTGTTTTGCAAAACAAACAAAAAAAAACCCCAAAGCAAAAAACAGTATAGCAAGGAAGAACTTATTAGAACATCTCATGTCAATACATTTCTATGCAGATGACTCTCAGAACTTCTTGTTCAGCCCTAACCACCCCCTGCCAAATGGACATCTCAAACCAGATATCCTATAACAACTTAAACTCATCATGTCATCTGTATCTTTCCCCAAAAACTCTCTCCTCTTCCTAACTTCTTTTTTACTGTCAAGGGTTGGTACATTACTATACCATCATCTGCCCAGTCACTGAGGCTCAAAACCTCAGCTTCTCATTCCCTCTCAACCCCCCCCACCAGATCCAATAAATGGCCAAGTCCTGTTAATCCTACCCTCTCAACATTTCTCATATAAGCTCCCTTCTCTCTTCTGACACTGTCACTCATCCTGGTGCAGGCCCTCATTATCTCCTACCTACATACACCATGGCATTAGCTTGATGATTGATATTCCTGCCTCAAATCTCTCCCCACTCTACTCCATTGTCCATTCAGCTGTGAAATTGATTTTCGTTAAAGGGAAGTCTGACCATATTACCCTTCAACCTTTCAATAAACTCCAGTGGCTTTCTATTACTTCTGTGATCAAATAGAAAATCTTCTGTTTGGCTTTCAAAGCCTTCATATTCTGGCCCAGGGGTAGGGAACCTGCGACCTCAAGGGGGTCCTCGAGTGAGGCCCTTTGACTGAATCCAAACTTCACAGAACAAATCCCTCCCCTGTGACCTGGCCCCTTCCTACCTTTGCAATCTTCATACACCTAACTCCTCTCCAAGTACTCCGGGATCCAGTAACACTGGCCACTCACCATTCTCTCTTTTTCTTTTCTTTTCCTCTTTCTCTATTTTTTGTTCTTAAGGTCACCACTTTTATTTGGTACATACATCGGATCACAGATTTAGAGCTTCGGGACATTAGATGCCATAGGCCAACCCCTTCATTTTACAGAGAAGTTAAATGACTTACCCAGAATCACACAACCAGTAAGTAGCGTCTTCTTGACTCCATCTCCAGCATTCTATGCTCTATTTAGGGCTTCTTAAACTTTTTCCATTCCTGACCCCTTCCACCTAGAGAAGCTTACTGGTTTAAGTCAATGGGGCAAAGACTTCTTTTTTTTTTTTTTTTTTAGGCAATTGGGGTTAAGCAACTTGCCCAGGGTCACACAGCTAGTAAATATCAAGTGTCTGGTCTGAGGCCCGGATTTGAACTCAAATCCTGCTGACTCCAGGGCTGGTGCTCTATCCACTGCCACCTACCTGCCCCAGGGCAAACACTTTCTTAAGTAGCTACTGTATTACCTTGCCATTCCTTTTTTATGTAAATAGTATTTTATTTTTTCCAATTACATGTAAAGACAATTTTCAACATTCATTTTTAATAATATTTTGAATTTTATATTTCTCTCTCTTCCTCCCTCTCTCCCTTCCTCCCTCCCTTCCCCCCTCCCCAAGATGGCAAGCAATCTGACATAGATTCAACATGTCTCCTGACTCTGAGCATTTTTATTTGCCGGCCTCCATTTGTGGAATTCTCTGATTCCACCTCTCCATCTTCCTAACTTCCCTAACATCTCAACTAAAGTCCCACCTGCTGGCCTAAGCCTTTCCCAGTCCTCCAGGATTGTAGCACCTTCCTACTACAATTACTTTCCAGCCACCCTCTCTATATCTTATATGTACACGGGGTTTTGGATATTGTCTCCTCCATTAGGCAGTGGGTGCCTTGAGATCATGGACTGGTTTTAAAAAACATTTTCTTTGTATCTCCAGCACTTAGCACAGTGCTTAGCCCCATAGTGGGTGCTTAACAAATGCTTATTGATTGATTGACTGGTAAAATCAGATGACAACTTCCTCAAGTAACTTTAATTCATGGATAGAATAAGGTTTTCTTGGATCCTTTTTAATCCAGTCTATTGATTCTTCACAACTTGTCCGTTGTCGGTTTATCCATCCATTCATTCAATAGGTATTAATTAATTACTATGATCAAGAATATGTCCAAAATCCCAGGGACTATATGAAATACTCTAAAGAAAGAGAGACCTAAGGAATTGGGAAAAAACCCAAACATTAATTGCTCTTGATCAGTCAAGCCATATAATAAAAATGGCAATCCTACCTAAATTAATTTTATTCAGTGCTGTACCAATTAAACTACCAAAAGGATATTTTATAGAGCTAAAGAAAATGTTGAAATTAATATGGAGGATTAAAAAGTCAAGAATCTCAAGGAGAATTATGGAAAAAAGTGGGAAAGAACAGCCTGAGAGGACCAGGTATGAAATGGTAGTGCAAAGTTGTATTCATTAAAAAGGGATTAAATGAGATGATACTTATAAAGTACTTAGCATCCTGCCTGGCACTTAGTAGGCACTTAATAAATGTTTGTTCTCTTTCCTTTTCCCCAATATGATTTGGCACTAGTTTTAGAAAAGAGAGAAATCACAAAGTGGAACAGATTAGGTATATGTCATATATAAGACAACAAAAACAGTAGCATATCCTTTGATAAACCCAAAGCCCTCAGTCACTGGGAAGGCTCACTATTTGACAAAAACTATGAGAAAACTGGTCAACAATCTGGATGAAATTAGGTTTAGACCAACACTTTAAAGCATACGTGGAGATAAACTCTCTAAGATAAACGTGAAAATAAAGACTCTCTGGTTTTCTTCCTGAAAAGACAAAACTATTTTACTGTCAATTACATGATTCCTGCATGTTCATTGTGGAAATGGACACTTTCTCTAACATAGAAAGGCAAGATAAAATTGAGAAAATTCATAAAAAAGTAAGGAGGGGTTGACACATGCCTAGACCACGTAACCTGGCATGGTCTCGGTGGAAGATGACGGAGGAAGCGCTTCTGGGATACTGGAGGACTGGAGCATGCGTGGACATTGTGTGTTGGCCTACCACGTGGTAGGAAGCAGTCATTTTCCGTTGGCTGTGGCGCTGGAAATGTCGGGGTGTTGAAAATGGTCAGACTGAGTACACTCGGGGATTTTACTACGTTCTCCTCTGAGGGTGAAGGATGCAGATCTCAGAGCAAGGGAGGAATGACCTGAGGTCCGCCTCCTTCCTTCCTCTGCCCTTGTAGTCACGTAGCCCTGAGAAGCAGGCCCCGAGTTTCGGACCTTCCCCTTGTAGATACAGGAAGTGGAGTCTCCTGTCCCAGAGCTAGAGACCGGGGGACCGGAAGTCCGAGAGGGCAGGCAGGGTGTCCAAGCCAGCCCTGCAGGGAAGCCCTGAGGAGCAGAAGTTCAAGGAGGCTAGCCCAGGGGAGCTTTGGACTGGAGCTTGGTGGGACTGATGCTAGGAAGGAACTACTCTAAGCTGTGAGCCTAAACCCCTTGCCCTCCCCAGGACCGAGGTGGTCTAGTGGGGGCAATTATGTCCTAGACGTGTTGGAGGATGTGTGTATGTGTTTGCTCTTGCTATAGCCTTGACATAAATATCCCTGTGTAAAAGCTCATCGGACATCAGGGGTTACATGGAACTGGGACCCTAGTCATTGGGCCAGTAAAAGTGAGAGGACATAATCAGTGGGGGCTCAAGGAGGATCCTGGAGAACTCTGGGGGATCTAACATATACCAGGCCTTGCCCTTAGAGGGCGAGGCCAGAGGCAATCCCTGTTACAGCAGCAAACATTCCCAATACCCATGTCCCAGGCCAAACCACATCCCGGACCCTCATCCACCTCATCAGAGGCCAAGCACTCAGTCCAAACGTTAGGGTAACAAGCTTGGCCATCACCACGGGAGAAATGCACCTTCCTTGCATGAAAGTTTTTACTTGTCTCAGAAAGGCTGCAGCTTTCTGACCCAGTTACTCTGCTGCTTCCCCCAGGAGCTGGGTATCTGGGGGCCCCACCACTCCCCTTACAGATGGTGCCCCTGTTCATGGCAGAGAGGCCTTCCCAGAGTG